GTGTGTGTGTGTGTGTGTGTGTGTGTGTGTGTGTGTGTGTGTGTGTGTGTGTGTGTGTGTGTGTGTGTGTGTGTGTGTGTGTGTGTGTGTGTGTGTGTGTGTGTGTGTGTGTGTGTGTGTGTGTGTGTAAACCTCTTGTAACTTTTGAACGACTCGACCTATTTCATCGCGGTTGGTGTCATTCGAAAGGGCTTCACGAAACTTAGATTTCCTGAAAATTTGAACCGATTTCGACCGGTAGATTTCGAGAAAATGCAAAAAAAGTGAAAAAAAGTAAAAAAAAAAGTTGTTTTTTTTTATTTTTTTTAAATATCTCTGAATTGGCTGAACCAATCGGTCTCAAAAACTTATCAGCTTTTAACCTTGAAAACCCCCATCGATTTCCACCAAAAACGTTAGAATCGGTTGATGCGTTCGTGAGATATCGTTGTCGAAAAAAATCGAAAAAAGTGTTTTTTTGTAATAACTTCGAAATTCATGGCTCGATCTATTTAATCTTGAAAATTTTTCATGGAGCTTCAAAAACTGCGTCGATTGCCGCTAACCGCGTGAAAATCGGTTCATTCAGTCAAAAGTTATTGCCGTTTGAAAATTAAAAAAATTGTGTCTTTAAACTGCTATTAGAATTTTGAGCTCGAAGAGCTCAAATTGACACAAAAATAATATTTTTGAGCTCGAAGAGCTCAAAAACGTAATGTGTAGTTTGAAGCGTTTAAATACAAAATGAGCGGGAAGTTGCAGGGATGGCCTTTAGGGTGAACCGTTTTTCTAATTTTTTTTAGTCCAGACCGGGATTCGAATCCGGATCATTTATTTACGCGCCAAATTCTCTATCAGTTGAGCTATCTGGGACACTATCCGTAACTATTTATTCAGTCACCTAATGAGACCCAACGAGTAATAAACACCACCGTCCATCTTACGGTAGAAAGCATTATATCTTTATTTATATCAGAATAAACGCGGCAAAATTGCAGTATATCTTCAGTATTTATACCATAGAAATACGATTTTATTCTCGTAAAATTATAGTAATGTTATAGTTATTACATAGATTTTTTACAGTAAAAGTTCTAGAGTTTTGCGGTAATATTATCGTATTATTCCTGAACTTTGCAGCAAAAGTACGGTAGAAATGCTGTATAACTATAGTAAAAAAAACTGGCCAAAATAAGCACAGAAATACCGTATTATTTCAGAATTATAACGGTAAATTTATGGTAAACGCATTAATACCGAAAATTTACGGTATTTCAAAAACCGCGAGGGACAACTTGTAAAGAAAATTTTTCTAATTTTCTATTTTCTTTTCGGTATAAGTTTTAGTAAAAGAAAACTGTCTTTTAGTAAAAGAAAACTGTCAATCACAGTTTATTGAAATTATAAAGAGTCGATCCTATCTACTTATCAATTTGACATGGAATGGCTTATAAGCATATTTAAATAATACATACCAATATTAACAACTCCATGATTGGTAAGTTCCCAGCATGATTGTAATCGTAAAATACTCAGTGAACTACTTTGTTTGGCGCTGAAATAACCGAGTGCTGCATCGGTAACATGATAAGCTTGGAGAGAAAATTCATAAAGACTTGGCAATAGTTGTGCCACAGCACCAACTGCTTCGTCAGCAACATTTATGCAATCCGATAACGATAATGATACTATTCTTGGTGTTAAGCACGCCCACAGTCCAGCTTCTGTGACTTCATTACAACCCGCTAGTTCCAGTTCAAAGAGTGCCTGTACCAAACATAAAACACCATTAAATAACAATAATAAACATTTAAACAAATTTTAAAAATTGATAGTAACGATAGGATAAAGTATAGTTGCGAAATAAAGCTAGATTTATTTTTTAAGGGTAACCTAATCTGATATTTTCTGATCAATACTTTTTTTTTATTAAACAGACATAAATACACTTAAAGTTCTAGTAGTATTTTCATAATAAGTTGGAGAAGTATTTTCATCCACGCTTTTTCAAAATATATCCATTGTTATTGTAACAAAATGCAAAATGTAATGAGCAATACTGATTGATTATGTTAATCACCTCTACCGTAGTAAAGAATTATTATTCTCATAGCCATTTAAATTGCTGTAATGAATAGATTGTACGGTAGATGTAGAAACTGCTATAAGTCATAACTATCGAGAGGTTGTATTAGTACTTTTTGATGGCTGTTTAATTTCTTAAAGATTTGATAAATACTTTAGATTAATAATTTTGTTTAATTCTACATTTATCAGTAATTGAGCTCAAAATTAGAATCAAGATGTTTTATTTCTAGATAATAACTTAAATACCAAATACTATGAGAAAAAGGAAAAACTTTAATTCTATACTCTAATAATTAGTTTCAAAGAATCGTTCATAATATAATCAGCCTTATTACCTGAAGATGATCTAAAAGAGTTTCAAGGCCTCGATCAGTAACAGAGCAACACCGTAATGATAATGAATGAATGTGACGTTGTGCCATGGGAAACCCATGTGTTAATTCTGGTATATCTTCATCAGCTGCACCCAAAAGAACGAGTGAATGAAAACCTCTTCTGACTAGAGATGCATACAATTTTGTTCGTGATCCTGAAGCCATTCCCCTGATTTCCCGACATCTAACTACTGGTACTAATCCAGCCCAAAACCGAGGCCTTGCATACAATACATCTCGCCATCGAGTGCAAACCTAGATTGAAAAAATATGATTTATTTATTTCAAAAAGACACATAGATAAAATTATAGGTATACTGTACTTGAGCTAAAATTTTTCTTTCGCTGACGTTAAAATATAAAAAAAATCGGCTCAAAAATAGTTCATCCAGCATTAACTGTTCCCATGATATAGGTGGTATATAGCCAGGAGTACCACAGCTGGCAAATGATATATTTCTCATCCGTATTTTTCCTCGTCCTATTTTTGTTCTCACAGCAGTGCTGGTATTGCTTGAACTTTTACTGTTGACAACATTGATGGAATTACTGATTGACATGGGTATACTTCTGCTTGGCTTCTCCGGAATTTGATTAGCATTAGTGTTTTGAATACTCATATAAGCAACACCACCTCCGCCACCACCACCACCACCACCACCACAAAATACGTTCGTCACACGTTCCATTACACTCGTTTTGCCACCTCCTGCAATTTTAATCAATGCAATAGTTAGATAAAATTTATGAGTTTTCATATGAGAATTATAAACTTCCTCGTATCCAAAAAGTTATCAGCTAAAGTGGAGTCATTCGATGTCAAATCGCCCAATAGTTGAAATCGACCCCTTTTGATTTGGACAAAGGCCCTCGCCCGATAAGCGGGGATAAAATGCCCCCATTGCAATCAGGCTAATTTTTTTTCTGAAATACCTTATATTGTGGACAACATCTCAGCCCAGTTTCAACTCTAAGATATCACGCGTTTTTGACCAAAAAGAAAGTTTTTTTTTTTTTTTTCAAATCGATTTTTCTCCGAATCTACTTGACAATATTAAAAAAAGTGTATATGGATTTTAAGATATCACTAATTAGTATTCCTAGAAAAATTCGCTCGATAATCGGGTAAGTTGGTCATGGGTAAAAATGCGATTATATTTAAAAAAAAAATTTTTTTTATGCCCCAAACGTATGGTACACCTTAGTTTTTTTTTTTTGCACGTATTACTCTAACATTGACCAACAATATATATTTTTTAAAGATTTTTAAAATATTAGACGATAGTTAAAAAAAAAGAAATATTCTTAAAACATTTTTTGTTGCTTCAATTCCTTAAGTATAGTCATGTAATTTTTTATACATTATCCCTTTGTCTTAGTTGACAAAATATATTTTTTGACATATTAACCGCGAAAGTTGGATTTTTGAGCAACACACACAGAGGGTGCAAAGAAAACTATTTCTGGCAATCTATAGTTAATGTACCTCGTACTAGTATCGAAAAGTAACTTCTCTATCTCTATTTGTCTCTTCATTTCTGCACGACTCCGCTAAAATACGCTGTAGGTGAGTCGAATTATTTCTTAATTTGATAAGCATCCGCTGGGTGGAGTGAAAATCTCAAAAAGAATCTTAGCGACATTTGAATCTTGTAAACAACTTCAACATATACGTGCGTTTAATCCATCGCTATTTAATCTCGGGTGACATAATTTTTATGCCTTTGAATAAAATAACCAGTAATTTAACATTCTTGACTGTTCTCTCAAATCCAACTTCCGCAATTGATATGACCAAAATTATGTTCGATACTTTATGCTCAAAGGTAGGGACCCTGACAAACTTGAAGTGAAGGCACACGTTTGAAGACATAGATACATTCCTCGGTCTTGATAATAATGCGCTCATAGCCTCAAACTTGTGACGTCACTTCAAGCCGTAAAATCCCTACCTTTGCGCATATGTATCAAAAATGACTATTTTTCATACTTAAAAAGATATTAAATGATTGCAAGGATCATTAATCTTGTTTATTAATCAATTTTTTCAGCTTGTTTGAACTTAATTTTTTTTCTTGAGTCATTATTTATTGCTCTGCTCTTGAATAATTATTTTATACAAATATTTAACAATATTAAATCTTTCAAACAACGAAATTTTATAAATTCTTGTTACTCAAAAAATTGTACCAGATTGAATTTTTCCACCTCTGCTTGCAATGCTACCTGCTGGGCAAAATATTCCGAAATGAACCGATTTTTACGCGGTTGGCAGCATTCGACGTAGTTTTTAAAGCCCCATGAAGAATCTTCAAGTTTTAATCGATCAAGCCTGGAATTTCGAAGTAAATGCGAACAAACATTTTTTTCGGTTTTCTTTTGACAACGATAACTCACGAACGAATAAACCGATTTTGACCGGGCTTGCAGTGATCGACGTGATTTTTTGGTTTCAAGAGCTGATTAGATTTGGGAATTGATCGGTGAAACCATTTAAAAGCAATTCCAAAAAAACCACATTTCGAAAAAATTTTTTTGTAGTTTTTTTGAGATTTCTCAAAATCTACTGGTTCGAAACGGTACAAATAATATTCAAAATCTAAGTTTGGTCAAGCCCTTTCGAATAGCGCCAACCGCGATGAAATCGATCAAGCCATTCATAAGTTATAAAAGGGTTACACACACACACACACACACACACACACACACACATACCTGCGGCAGAGGAGAAACTGCTACCAGGCGCGTCTCCCCGTAGCGGATGGGTTGACACTCGCTGTCCTTGGATGACACTTGGATAATCTCTTAGTTGATGAGGTACAGCGGGTAGGAGCCAAGCAAAATAACCAAACAAAATACGCTCCCGTGGACAAAACTCTCCTTTAATGGGTTGGTCACACTAACTGACCTAACAAGACGAGGGTAGCGTTGTTCGCGTCCGTAGGTACTGCTTTAACACCCTACACGTGCTCTCCGGGTAGTGCTAAATGAACAACACTCGGAGCTGAAGAGAAACAGCCACCGTCCGTGTATCCTTGTGGGTCGGAGAAAGCTCGCTGTTCTTCGGAGCAAAGAGTAGGAGCGAATAAAATAGCTCTCGCGGTAAAAAACAAAAACACCCCTTTCGGCAGGAAGGGTTGGTCACACCATCAGACCTAGGGTCACGTACACAAGCGGATATGGTGACGCTGCTCGAAAGAGATCTGCGAAATAATCCTTACAGCGCGGCGTACGTAGTAACTCCCGGCATCTACGTGCCGCACCCACGGGAGCAAAAGGAAGCCGATGAAGGAAGCAGGTGCAGAGTCGAAGCGGTTGAGATTTCCCGTTTCAATAACCGAAAGCTCTTATAGCAATGGAAGTAGTTGTAAGAGTGATCACCCCTCCACTTCTGAAAGCATCGCGTTCGGAGACGACCTTTTGCTTTGGAGTATCAATAAAGATCATGGAAGAAACGAAAAATCAAGAAGAGGACAGGAGTATTAGTGGGCCCCACGCCCAAGAAGCAACGATTACAGCAAGCGCTGAGATGAAGCGGACGCAAGCGCTGGAACGCCTTGAAAAACTGACCAGCGAACTGCATGAATTTGTCCAATCAAAGGTCAATATCCATAAAGAGATAAAGACCAAGGCAACCCGGGTAGTTAAGGCCCTTCGAAGGTTTAAAAAACTGGACGAAGAATGGCAGTCATCTCGACGACTCACTCCTCGCCCTACGTCGGAGAAGAGCAGTCAACTGACTGTGAAGATCGAAGAATCAATGGACACTGGAGTCGATGGTGACGATGAAACTGATGCTAAAGACGAAGGTCATACTTCCAACAAGTCTAATAAGAGGAAGGACCGAAGCTCCCCAGATGGAATAAATGGGCGACTGACGAAGAAAAAGGACTTGAAACCAAGTCCTCCGAAAAACGTGATGGAGCAGAACGCCAAAAAAAAAGACGCGTCTGACTGGGAAGATGTCCACACAAAGAAAGAGAAAAGGAGGCTAGCCAAAGAACAGCTTCCAAAGGAGCCTCCAAAGATGTCCAGGCCGAAGCCTAAGCGCAAAAAACCGCACAAATGGATCAGACCCGACGCACTGATCATCCGCCCGGCCGAGAAAGCAAAGTAC